TAAAAAGTAAAGAAAGTAAGTCACCATGCACACCAAATATAAAACAAAAATTAATTACTTACTATATATATATATATATATATATATATAATAAAGACCAATAAAAGATACATAATACAACTGAATGTTTCGGGTGGTGTATCAGGTTTCCTTCTTAATAAGTTTACAAAAAATTATATGAATCATAAATATAAGAAAAGAATATAACAAAAATTCATGTTTGTCTATTGAACACAATATACAAAAGTCAATATGTACACTGGATGTGAAAGACTGACTAAAGAACACTACCATGTTCTTGTACCTGAAATTGGATGAATTAGACTTAATATGCTGTTTGTGTTTATATAATTACACTGCCAAAATATTTACATGTTCTAAATACTACATGCCCAAATTTCAGATCATTATAGTGTCATATTTACTGAAACCACTTATGAAATTAAATTACTAATAGTAACCTACCTTTTTAGGAACAGCTCTAATTTCACAACATGTTGACAAAATAAATCTTAGTGTGGAATGATGAGGCAGGTGGGGTACTTTAGAAAGGGACTTACTTCCACTTGTATCAATCTGTGAAAGCTTGCAACAAATATCTGCCTTAGCTGACACCTCTAATCTGAAAAATAATGACAATAAAAACAAAACAAAAGGTTATTCACAATAACTACAGTTGGGTGAGACATTTATCATAGGATACACTGTTTCTAGGTATAAACAACCAGCTAAAATCACAGGGCTTGCTGGAATAACACTTCTAATGTTAAATAGAGATGTTAAAGAAAAGTTTTGCAAATGAAAATATTATAAAACATATATTTGCTAAAATACCCTAATCTTTTAAAGATTACATTTGAGCACGACTTTCAACATTTTCTTATATCTTGGTAAATTAGGCATTCACTTGGTTTCAGAGAAAACAACTGTATATTACTGTAAATACTGTTGTTAAGCACAAAGCTACACAAAGGGCTATCCATTTGTGCCTACCGTTGGTATAAAAACTAGATTTTAAGTATTATACACCTTCAAAACTACCATTGAGCCATTGGGGACATAAATACTGTAGTCATCAGATATGAAGTATAAAATTCAATATTTTGTTATCTAAAGGTTTCCAAACATAATATAAAAAACTTGGCTCAAATTACACACTACATGGATTTTAGATTATTTATAAGATAGAGAAATAGAAATAACTTACTGGCAAGATAATACAAATAGAAATAATGTTGCTTTTTCAGATTTTTTTCTGCGTAAGTTTAACTTCCTGGATATTCCATCATCATTATATGGCTTCTATAATGTATAATTTCTTTGCAACAGAGAGAGTCAAAGATTTTACTTGAACATAAATGCAGATCAACAGAGGTTTCTGCTATAAATCCCTAAAACACAGCATATGTTTCGCATCAATCTTTGAATATGTTGCTAATATCTAAAACAGACACAGAAAATACATTAATATGTGTATAGGTTACAATAAAAAACTCAGAGAGTCAGATCATGTAGAAAATTCCAGCAAATAAAATTTTCTTACCTTTCTAATAAAGCTTGAACTTCATCATCAGGATTTGGACATATAATTCCAAACGAGTCTCCAGGTTGGTAAGAAGTTCCACTATCCTGAATTAAGACATCCAAACCTAAGTTAAACTGTATATGACATATTATTTGTGTTTCACAACATGAATGTACTTATGGACTGTATGCAGTTAAACTTGTTTGAATGTTACAGTCACAAACTAAATTTTTAGAAATTGCTTTTATTTAGAATAGTTTTAAATATGTACAGAATGAAAATCTAGGGACTTTCTTATTCTTCTTTTGAGACATTCCAGAGATCAAGCCAAAGCTTACCTTAATATCAATCACCATTTCCAAGGTTGTTTTCACAGCATCCGAATGTGTTAAAAATCTAGCTTGCAAAATTTTTGCCTCAAATACCGAGGAACAAGACCCAGGAAGTGGACAGTTGTTCTGAATTGGTACTTTATTCAGATCCTAAAAAAAGCTCAAGAGTTATATACAAACAAATCTGTCACTACATACAAGTCTGGTAGTAATAATAAACAATATGAAATCTGCAACATTTCTAAAACCAAGCAATCAGTCTGTCATGTTTTAGTTCTTATAAAATAATGAGATAACTTGGCTAATTAGAGAAGTTCCTAGTATACGTAGACTTTTTAACGTTTACATGTGTCTTTGATGGTATATATACTGATACTTAGTTATTTCAGCATCTTAAATAATAAAAGGTGATACAGCAATACATTGCAACATTTCACCAGGAATTTATTCAGGAAAGAAAAGAAAAAAAAATGCTTCTGCATTTTGACACGAATATGAAACTGAATCAACTTTGTAAAATAATATCCCTGTAATGTTTCTTGAATTTCATAAAAAAAAAATTACAATATTTTGGCATGACTACAACAACGAATAGAATAAAATATATTTTAGGAGATTATGCATCATACCTATTGAAAGATATTAGACTAGAATAATGTCTAAACCCTGCTATATTTCATATTTTTTCTCATCATCAGCAGAGTAATGATCGTTTTTAATATATGTAACTGTATAAAAGTTCTTTCATAAAAAATATTATGTAAAACATAAAATGAAAAAAAATTGTCAAAGATTTAATCTGACTGCGAATTCAAGATACTCAATGCAAGAATCATTTAATTAGCATATATATTATGCTTATAGGATATTTTAAGAGTTTAATGAAATGCTTTTGGCTAAACAGTGTCATAAATTTTGCTATAAAACTCATTATCACATGGCCCGGCATGGCCAGGTGGTTAGGGTGCTTGACTAGAAATCTGAGGTATTGGGTTCAAATTCTGTCCCACCAAACATTCTCACCCATTCAGCCATGGGAGTATTATAATATGATGGTCAATCACACTAATCATTGGTAAAAAAGTAGCCCAAGAGTTGGCAGTGGATGATGATGACTAGCTGCCTTCCCTCTAGACTTTCATTGCTAAATTAGGGACAGCTAGCAAATATAGCCTCCCATGTAGCTTTGCACAAAAAAAAACATTATCACAACAACAATTGATTTAGTATTGTAACACTATCCAATTATGAAATCTATCTAAACAACGAACATATGATTTCAACTATTCAGTGTACGAGCAACAATAGAATCCTTTCAACTCTTTTATCATGGACTCAGTCCATGGGACCAGCATCACAATCATTTTGTGCTTGATATAGTTTTCAAGATATAACTTTTAAATTAATAAACATATCTTCACAAACTTTAGCAGATTATCAGTAAATATTACAAGGGTTTTTGTATGCAAAATATCAGATTTTTTAAACAAAGTTTTAAGATTTATTAAGTAATGTTTTTCTCATGCCTTTTTTCTTTTCACATGTTAACTATCCAACATGCAAAGTAATTTTGATTTTAAGATTAAAAATACTTTTATGCATCACAAAATTTTAAAATTTCACATGCAAAATCTTTATAATGTCCAGATAATTATCAAATGTTTCTTCAAAAAAAACTTTATATTTTATCTATTATTTTCACTAATGAATCTCTACAGGTTCGGTTGATTTGACCGATCTCATAACCACTATAGGATAGTTATGCTTTTTTCTTTCTAGAATGACTACAAATTCTAACAGAAAAACACAAATGTTTAGTCTAAATAGCTTAAATCTCATAACAATAAACATATATATTTATTGTTTTTATCATATTAACCTTCCAGCTGTGCCTGGCTAACATTACAGAAGTTGCAATGATGTGGCACACATGAACTCATGTCACCTTATGTTGAATTTAAAATAATATATATATATATAAAAAACTTTCCTTTTTGTCAATTATTAAATAGAAAGGCTTTTAATTATATTTCTTAATAGTATAAATATATATTATGTTGTTGATGAGCTTAGGATTCTTCTACAGTAGGTGTCTGTGACTTGTTAGCGATAAATTCAACGATGAATAAACAACACGCAATTCACTTGTTTTCAAAATAATATATACATACATATATACATACATATATATATATATATATATATACACACACACACACATATTCAGAACAAGTTAACGTATGTACAATAAATTCTTCAATACTATAGATATTATGGACATATCATAAATACTATATATGTAGTTCTCTCCTTCTGTCAAATATCTACATAGGCCTATTCAATTACTTTAGAATTTCAGTTGATAAGCCAAAAAATCTTCTCTATTTCTATTGTGCTAGTTTTCTCTGTAATTCACTTACAACTGTGGCATGAGTTACCGTAATCATTTGGTCTTCTTTCTTTTGAAGATCCTTTGTTTCTTTTGTCAAGGTGCACTCAGGCTAATTCAATTACTTTGGAACCATGCTTTGACAGAATAAAATTTATCTTCTTTCCTTCTGTTAGTTTCACTCTATAACATATTAAATGTTAGGCCTATGTCAATCATTAGGCCTATCATTTCTACGGTAGTTAAGATCACACCAACTTTATTCTCTTTTGCTACTATCTGTCTGCTGCTTCCCACTCGGCTCACGTTATTTATATCTTTTTTACCTAATCATCTGTCCACCTTCTATATTCTCGATGTCAATATAGTGCACGACATATTATGTTCTCACCATCAATGAATTATTAACAAATCATCTGCTTTCAACTCTTATTATAACAAAAACCAAATGATAATAAAACCTTCACTCACAAAACTAAATTAATCAATAATATCTGATTGAAACAGTCTTTTATATCATGACACTGTATCTAAAAATATAAAACTGGCCTTTAGGCTTTACAAAGTGACCTATTTTGGCTGTGTTTTAGTGGATTAGTATTTTTTAAATACAGTCACATTTCAGTTATAATACATTATATATGTATATAATTATTAATATTATTTACAAATAAGTTCTTAAAGTTCTTTTTCTTAAAACATAGAACAGTAAATAAATAAGTATAGCAAACAATTATCTCTTCTAGTTATGAACTTTGTACCCGTTTGCTGTTTGCCATAGGTTGCTAAACCTTATCAAATTTCACACGTGAAGGAGGTGAAAATGAAATAATTTTTTTAGGTTATATACATATATACATTTGAAATAACAAAAAAAAAATCAAATTACTATATCGATATAGAATTCCACTATAATTTATCAAGCTTAGTAACTAAGCCGTACTTGGGTCTAAAAAATATGAAATTTCAAGGAGATTAAAACTCACCATATCAGTTTGAAGTCTTGTATTAAAAGAATGAGTTTGATGTCGTAATACTTCAAAATAGCTGAGAGAGCCACTATGGGACATTGAGCTTTCAATTGGTTATTCATATGTCATAGATAGAAGTATGTGTATATGAGGAAGTGTTTCCGAAAATGCAAAGAGGTGAGTGGGGCCACTGTATTTGATTCAGAAAACGAAGTAATATCAGCAAATAGAAAAGATAAGATGTTCTTATTTTATATTCTAGCTTGTCAATGTTGGTAATTAGAGTTCCTAATTGATATGAAACTACAGACTGTATTTGAACATCACAAACATGTAATTTGAACCAGTGCTGCATTCAACATAATACGCGACACACAAAATCGATATGCAGGTGTTTTTTTTTAATATTTACTTTTAAATTAAGAAAGTAACTAATGTATAATACTAAAATTTGAATTATAATCTACAATCTGATACCAAACTTATTGACATAAACTCATAAAATAGTAGTTCAATAAAATTTTGAATGCAAATATACAAACGTGATGACATGGCCTTTGACACATGACCTGTATTGATAGGGTTAAATTACTGTTCAGGAAGTTAAATTTATTCTTCCATTAAATTTAAAGTTTCTTTAAAATCTCTCTTTCTTTTTTATAGTTTACCAAACTATGCTGCCAAACACCTACCAACTAGAATGACCAAAGACAGATTTCTACATATTACTAGTATTACCATTCTGAAAGTCTATTAGTTTTTGCCTCACTTTTAATGACCATTAGCTGTATGAAAATAAGCTGTACATAATAATCACAGCAAATACAAACTTGACAAAGCAGCTTGAGAAGATGAAATTCTAACAGTTATGTTATATTTAAGAAATTATAAATATCAATCAGTAAAGTCTGTTGCTATGTGTGGAATTTTACACTGAATACTTGATGCACCTAGCAACATGAACAGGAATTCCAATAGTTATACTGTGCTTAAGATACTGTAGTAATACTATTATTAAAAGACTCTGTGTGAATCACCACCTCTGAGTATTTGCTTTACCCAGTAACCAAGACATTAACTCCCAACTATGCTGTGCCTAAGCCACTATACTGTAACTACTGTAAAAAGTTTGTTGCTTTGTGAAATTTGTTTCATTACACAAATTACACAGGCCAGAAGTTGTTTTGGTTTTAATAATGGATTTTCCATAATTCAGCTATGTAGATTTCAAAAACAATATTAGTTTTTTTCTATCATGTACAGATTTTTTACAAATCGGGAAGAAAAACTTACTTAGATCAAATGATTATTTCGTTTACCACAATGAACCTTTTTTATTATTATGTTTAACCAAAATACAAATAAACTGAAGAAAAGGGAAGAACATTGATGACAAATGAATATGCATCCTCATTCATTTTGATTTCTTTTATGAGATCTATGTCTTTTAGTCTACAAACTGTGTGTTGTGGTCTTTCTTTTATATATTGTGTTATGACGTTTTTTGAAAAAATCTGTACATGATGGAGAAAAATAAATATTATTTTCGGATTCAGCATACAGGAACTATTGTAGAACATGTAAAAATTTTAAGACAATAAAACAAATGCAGGCCTGTGTTATTAATATGTTACAAAGAATGCAACCTTACATGTCATACAATACTTGGTTTATCCTTAAACTTCACTTACATAGACCCATTAACATCTGTTATTAAGTATTTGTACTAGAAATCATGAAGTAACCATTTAAAAATGAATAATTTTGGATTGAACAATTTTGTCCGACTGCAACTCTAGCCTAGCAGTAGGTGTAAGGAAGTAAGAAAATAAAGTCCAAGAGGCATGATACGAGTAGAAAGACATTCTAAATGTTACTTCCATGACCAAATGAATCATCTACCTCAAAGCTTTTTTTATTGCTTTTGCTGTCAATGTGAAACTAAACAGAGGGATATTCACAGAAACTTAAACGGTCATCTATTCATTAATTAGTATATATGATTTGTTTCTCTGCATCAAACTACTTCAGATTTGGAGGGTGACAATAAGAGGAATTTTTAGAAGTAGCTTTGAAACTCATGAATTGTTACACATATAGAAATTTCGGCTAACTTTAATTTGCTTTATAAAACTCGATTATTTAAAGGAAAAACTTGTATTCTTTGTGCTCTTGGACCCATTCAAACAAAAAATTTTGCATTCTAAAGTTGGAGAAACCACATTTTCTAAACTGTTGTTGTACTAGGAAGAAAAACCTATAAGCAAAGCACAGCATTTTGTTGTTTTTTTTGTAAAAAGGAGTATGTTGTTTTGTTTACTAGCAGATTTAGATACAAAAATAACTACTAAAATTTGAATGAATGTACATACCACATTATCTTCTGGGCAGAAAGAAACCTTAAGGAATGGTTTAGGTAAATTTGGTACCCTAAGATCAGTAGTTTTCCAAGATGATGTGGATTCAACAAGTACATTTACACTTGGAGTTGAAGTATGCTGAAAGTGAATATTTTCATGTGACTGTTCCTGAACAAAACCAGTTTCTTCTTTATTCACTTCTAGAGAAATAGCAGAATGGTTAGAGAGACCTTCTTTAGATATACTTTCTACATTTTCCTTGGAATCAAAACCTTTCTTAGTAACATAAATTCCATTCACTGAAACAGAATCCGATAATGTTTTTTCTGTTAATGGCATGATCCTATTTTTTTCAGACTGGGTAATAATAATATCAGTATCAACTATGTTTGTCTTGGGTAGTTGTATGTTCAGAATGTTCTTCAAACCTTCCCATAAACCATCAATCCATGGTTCAACTACAGTTTCCAATCTAATAAAAAAAATAAAAAGTTGACTTTTATTTCTAAGCTGAAGAAAAAAAAAGTTTTTATTAAGTAGAACAAAATTATGACAGTGCAACGTAATTTTTGTTACATTAAATATTTATTAACCTAATAATATTTGAAAAGTTCTAGCTGACTCCTATCAAATGGGTAATTCTTACAACTGTTGGAATTACTTGTCACTGTTCTGGAACAGCCTTTACCTTCAGTAATATAAAACACTATCCTTTGTCAATCATGTATAGATAGTTGATCTGTTTTAACCACTTAGCTAGGTTAATAGAATGAAATGCCATTTGATGTAAACTTAAGCAAGGTTTTATGTACTTTTAGCTTATGAGCTCATGTTTGCAATCTCATTTCAAAAATGTATTTCAAGCTGATTTGTTTTTCTATCTGTGGAGATAGAAATCAAAAGTAACCAAAGAACGTCACTGAATTACAGGACACTTGGAACAATTTTTCTCATTGTACATTAATAAACTTTAAAGCAGCATGAAAACAAATTGCAATGTTCTGTTTAAAGGAAAAAATACAAATGAATTGTAAAATATATTTGCATTATTCATAAATATGTCTTGTATCATTAAGAAACCTACCGTTCATTTTCCATTAATCATTGTTTGTACATGTATTGTTTGTGTTTCATGATTTTGATTACAATATATATATATATATATATATATATATACACATACATAGTAC